GGCGGGCGGGACACGGCCGTCCATCTCTCCCGACCCCGAACCGCCGGGGGACCCCAAGGGGACCCCAACCGCAGGCGGGAGCGTCACACCTGCTTCCTCCCAAACACCTTGGTGCCCCCCGCCCCCCCGCAAAGCGACCCGACCGCCGCCGGGAATCCCGCGGGTCCCGCTGCACCCCTCCCACCCTCTGGCGAACCTCACAGGAGGAAAAACATTTTCTATAAACTTGAAAGGACAGGAGCTCACTGACCTGCTTTCTGCAAACCACCGGGATGGCCCAAGCGTTACACTTCCGCGAACGGATTCGGCGGCTGCAAGCGGCGCTCAGATATTGCGTCATCCGGCGGCGGCGGGCGGGGACCTGAGGCCTTCGCAGAACCGTATTCCCCTCCCGGAAAATGGCGGCGCCCAGTTGCCGCGCCGCCGCCTGGGGGCCGCCATGTTGGGAGGCCTGACTGCCGTACAGAAGGCAAAGCCAGGACTTTGGGTCCAGGAGCCAGGGATGGAGGGAAGGTGAGAAACTCAGGAATTTTATCTCGTTTCCCAGCACTTGGACAGTTGTGTAAAGTGAGTAATATTTTCAGAGCTTGGGGAGGCAAATACGAAATGAGATAAATTGTCTTGCGTGGTCTGGGCAAAGAAGTCATGTGACTGCAGCTTTTTATGTTATTTATTAATTTACTAGAGGCCCGGTGCACGAAATTCCTGTGGGGGAGGGGAGCTCTTCAGCCCCACCTGCACCCTCTCCAATCCAGGACCCGTCGGGGGATGTCTGACTGCCGGTTTAGGCCCGATTCCTCTCGAAATCTGGGACTGCTGGCTCCTAACTGCTCACCTGCCTGCTGGCCTGATCACCCCTAACTGCTCTCCCTTGCCGGCCTGATCGCCCCTAACTGCTCTCCCTTGCCTGCCTGATCGCTCCTAACTGCTCACCTGCCTGCTGGCCTGATCGCCCCTAACTGCTCTCCCTTGCCTGCCTGATCGCCCCTAACTGCTCTCCCTTGCCTGCCTGATCGCCCCTAACTGCTCTCCCTTGCCTGCCTGATCGCCCCTAACTGCTCTCCCTTGCCTGCCTGATCGCCCCTAACTGCTCTCCCTTGCCTGCCTGATCGCCCCTAACTGCTCTCCCTTGCCTGCCTGATCGCCCCTAACTGCTCTCCCTTGCCGGCCTGATCGCCCCTAACTGCTCTCCCTTGCCTGCCTGATCGCCCCTAACTGCTCTCCCTTGCCATCCTGATGGCCCCTAACTGCTCTCCCTTGCCATCCGGATCGCCCCTAACTGCTCTCCCTTGCTGGCCTGATCGCCCCTAACTGCTCTCCCTTGCCATCCTGATCACCCCTAACTGCTCTCCCTTGCCATCCTGATCGCCCCTAACTGCTCTCCCTTGCCATCCTGATCGCCCCTAACTGCTCTCCCTTGCCGGCCTCATTGCCTTTAACTGCTTCTGCCTTGACCCACCATAGCTTTGTCCAGAAAATACCCAGTCTATTTAGCATATTACCCTTTAATTAGTATAGATTTTGTCATTCATTTTGAGAGAGAAATTGCTGTGAGAGAGATCCACTGATGGGTTGCCTCCTGTACGCCCCCCACAGGGATCAAACCTGAAATAGGGCATGTGTCCTCACCCAGAATCAAAACTGCCACTTTCCCAGTGCTCTGGACAGCACGCCAACAAAGTCACCACCCAGGCCATGGCTGCAGGTTTTATTATCCAGTTTGTACAACATATTTCTTTCTTTCTTTTTTTTTTTTTGTACAACATATTTCTAAAAAAAAACACCACAAGTTGCCCTGGCCGGGTTCTTCAGTGGTTAGAGCGTGGGCCTGCAGACCAAAGGTGGTTGGGGTTCCATTCCTGGTCAAGGGTAGGTCCCTGGGTTGCAGATTCCCCAGCCCTGGTAAGGGGGACATGTGGGTGGCAACCAATGGATGGGTCTCTCACGTGGATGTTTCTCTCCCCATCCCCCTCCTGCTCCATTGCATCTCTTTACAAAACATTGGGTGGGGATTTAAAAAAAACACAAAATATCCTCCGGTGAGGATTTAAAAACCCACACACACAAAAAAAACCCAAGACTTGTTGCATAGAGAAAAAGGCATGAAATTAGTGAAATTGCAACATACAGCTTTGTTGTTTCCCCGCTCCTTTAATTAAAAAATTGCCAGAAGTCATAGACAGTTACAAGTGACCAGACATTTTACCAAAGTTAATGTGATGACAAATACACATCTAACTACACATTCATCATTGAGGTTATAGATGAACAGGCAGAGATACACTCTGCGAGGTCTGGGAGTCCCAAGCACAACATCTGTCCCCATGAAACGAGGGTGCATCACCCTCCCCATACCTGGATGTCTTTATCCACCTGGAAGATCTCAGAATATCCAGCTATAGGGATGTTTATGAATCCTTCCTCAAATAGGCATGATTGACCATGAATTGTACTTCCAGACCCTCTCTCCTGTTATCACTTAGAAATTTACAAGGGTTCCAGGCGATTTGTACGTGGAACCAGAGGCAGAGACCAATATGTATTCTTACAAGTTCAAATAGCCCAACTCAAAAGGATACATGTAAAATGACTCGATTTTTCTAATATTCCATACATGACAAAACTACAGATACAAAGAGAGCAATGATGCCAAAAACTAAGGTCAGGACAAGGATGTGACTATGAAAAGGTAGTTGGACCAGTGTTACTCAGTGGTTGAGTATCAACCCATGAACCAGGTCACGTCAATAACCGGTCACGGCACATGCCTGGGTTTCCGGCGTGACCCCTGGTAGGGGGTGTGTAGGAGGCAACCAATCAGTTATTCTCTCTTATCATTGATGTTTCTATCTCCCTCTCCCTTCTGTTCTCTGAAATCAATAAAAACCTTTTTTTAAAAAAAAAAAGAATGAAAGATAGCCTGAAGGAGTTTGTGATAGCAAAACTTTCTGAATTTCTACTATGGTTACAAAAATCTACATGTGATAAAATTTCCTTAAATTATATATAATAAAACAAACAAAAATGAGTGTTTGCTAAAATTGGAGATACAAATAAATCCTGTAGTTAAGAGCACTGTAACAATTTCACTTTACTCTACTTGAGAATGAACTGTGACTATGTAAGGTTTTACCTTTGCAAGTAAATAGATAGATGAAGGGCATTTGGAAATCTCAAGAAAATTTCAGTTTTTGTGATTCTAAGCTTATTTCAAAATTAAGGTTTTTTTTCAAAATTAAAAGTTTTAAAAACTCACATTTATATTAATTTTATAAACCACTTGATGCTACTTATAAACTTAGTCAAACACATTAAAATGTTATCCTTATAAATGAATATATTCATTTACATGTACTTCAAGTATTCTGAAATAACCCCAAAACAGAAAGAAGTGCAATATTTAATTACAGAATTAAACAGGCATAGACCACCCATGTGCTGTATATATTAAAATTTAATTCACAATGAGAGTTGTCACAGTTTAAAACTTATAAAATCAAAGGCAAGGTGAGTAGAAATACTGTTGAAGGTATTCTATCCACAAAGGCTTGTGAGGTATATTTTCTTTCTTTTTTTTTTTTTAAATATATTTTATTGAGTTTTTACAGAGAGGAAGGGAGAGAGATAGAGAGTTAGAAACATCGATGAGAGAGAAACATCGATCAGCTGCCTCCTGCACATCTCCTACTGGGGATGTGCCCGCAACCCAGGTACATGCCCTTGACCGGAATCGAACCTGGGACCTTTCAGTCCGCAGGCCGACGCTCTATCCACTGAGCCAAACCGGTTTCGGCGTGAGGTATATTTTCTGTTCAGACTTGTGACAGAATGCTTTTTCATTCAAGGCTTCTCTTCTTCACTAAGTTATCAGAAGTTTTGCTCAAGTCCACCAAATGGAACGTGTTCATGAGTTGTTCATGGATTGATGGCAAATGATAAGGCAACATAAATTACTGCAAACCATGCCGTAGTCCTGCCAGAGAAAAGTATTTCTCTAGTGTAGACTGACACCTATTGAAGTCTTACTTTTGGGGCAGATGCTTTCAAACAATTAGAAATATTCATTCATTCATGATCTCTGATCACATGTGATAGGGTCTACTTCCCACTAAAGAATTTACTACTGTCGCATTCATAGGTTTTATATCAGGATAAATTTTTTCGACATATAATGTCCTAAAATATTTTAATCAAGGCTGATTGTATTTGAGTTGTTTTGTAATTTTTTTAAAATATATTTTATTGATTTTTTACAGAGAGGAAGGGAGAGAGACAGAGAGTTAGAAACATCGATGAGAGAGAAACATCGATCAGCTGCCTCCTGCACACCTCCCACCGGGGATGTGCCCGCAACCCAAGTACATGCCCTTGACCGGAATCGAACCCGGGACCCTTCAGTCCGCAAGCCGATGCTCTATCCACTGAGCCAAACTGGTTTCGGCTGTTTTGTAATTTTTTGATATAAAATGAGGTAAATGACCAAGAAAGACAGTACCACATTCTTTTTCTTTCTTTTTTTTTTTTTTTAAATATATTTTATTGATTTTTTACAGAGAGGAAGGGAGAGAGATAGAGAGTCAGAAACATCGATGAGAGAGAAACATCGACTAGCCGCCTCCTGCGCATCCCCCACCGGGGATGTGCCCGCAACCCAGGTACATGCCCTTGACCGGAATCGAACCTGGGACCTTTCAGTCCGCAGGCCGACGCTCTATCCACTGAGCCAAACCGGTTTCGGCTCTTTTTCTTTTTTAAAAAATATATTTTATTGATTTTTTACAGAGAGAAAGGGAGAGAGATAGTTAGAAACATCGATGAGAGAGAAACATCGATCAGCTGCCTCCTGCACATCTCCCAATGGGGATGTGCCCGCAACCCAGGTACATGCCCTTGACCTGAATCAAACCTGGGACCTTTCAGTCCACAGGCCGACGCTCTATCCACTCAGCCAAACCGGTTTGGGCAATACCACATTCTTTACAGTAACTTAATTCTCCCCCCCCCCCATCTCTCCTTTTGCATTAAGTTATTCTTCATTGCATACTATAACCTTGAGAGCCTAACGTTCGAAACAGGCTTTCCCCAAAGCAAACACCTATGAAATCTCGTTTAAAAATGACAAGTGGTCAGAAGCTTTTCCACGATTGCTGCATTCTTAGGGCCTCCCTCCTGTATGTGTTCTTTGATGAATATAATGGTCTTGAGTTTGTAGTGAAGGCTTTCCCACATTCATTACATCAATAGGGTTTCTCACCCATGTTATTTCTCTGATGGGTAATAAGATCATTTTTGCTGAATGAGAATTTTCCACATTCAGTACATGCAAAGCAAGTATTTCCTGAGTGAAATCTCTGATGTTGTACAAGGCATGTCTTCTTCCTAAAGCCTTCATCACAATTCTTGCGTGTAGGGCTTCTGTGCAGCATGAGTTTTGCTGACGTACATCTAGTATACTCTTCACAATGAAGCCTTCCTCATATTCATGGCACATACAGTTTCTCTTAAGTATGAGTTTGCTGATGTAATGTGAGGTCAGTCTTCATGGTGAACCCTTTTCCACACAAATTACATACACAGGGCTTCTCTCCTGTATGTTTCAGCAGATGTCTAATGAGATTTTGCTTCGCTGTGAAACCTTTCCGGCATACACTACATACATAAGGTTTCTCTCCTGTATGAGTCCATTGATGTACAGTCAGGTATATTTTTACTGGGAAGCCTTTTCCACATTCACTGTATACATAGGGTTTCTCTCCCGTGTGCATTCGCTGATGTATAATCAGACGACTCTTCACAGTGAATCCCTCTCCACATTCATTGCACATATATGGTTTATCTGAAGTATGTCTTCGCTGATGTACAGTGAGATTACGCTTCATGGTGAAGCCTTTTTCACACACAACACATACATAGGGTTTCTCTCCAGTATGCGTTCGCTGATGTTCAACAAGACCCTGATTCAATGAGAAGCCTTTCCCACATTCACTGCATAAAAAAGGCTTTTCTCCTGTGTGCATTCACTGATGTATAATCAGACGACTCTGCACGGTGAAGCCCTTTCCACATTCGTTGCACATATATGGTTTGTCTGAAGTATGACTCCGCTGATGTATAATGAGAGAACCCCTCCAGGGGAAGCCTTTTTCACACACAACACATACATAGGGTTTCTCTCCAGTATGAATTTGCTGATGTCCAATAAGGCACCGCTTCCATGAGAATCGTTTCCCACATTCACTGCATAAAAAAGGTTTCTCTCCTGTATGAGTTCGCTGATGTCCTATGAGGTGGTGCTTCACTGAGAATCCTTTCCCACATTCACTGCATGTATAAGGTCTCTCTCCTGTATGAGTTCGCTGATGTCCTATGAGGTGGTGCTTCACTGAGAATCCTTTCCCACATTCACTGCATGTATAAGGTCTCTCTCCTGTGTGAGTTCGGTGGTGCTCAATAAGATGACTCTTGTGGATAAAGCCCTTCCCACATTCACTGCATGTATAAGGTCTCTCTCCTGTATGAGTTCGCTGATGTCCTATGAGGTGGTGCTTCACTGAGAATCCTTTCCCACATTCACTGCATGTATAAGGTCTCTCTCCTGTGTGAGTTCGGAGATGCTCAATAAGATGACACTTCTTGGTAAAACCCCTTCCACATTCATTGCATGTATAAGGCTTCTCTCCAGTGTGAGTTCGTTGATGATAAATGAGAAGAGACTTTATGATGAACGCTTTCCCACATTCACCACACGTAGAAGGTTTCTCTTTCATGTGACTTTTCTGATGTTTATTGAACTGGGATGTCTTGAGGAAGGTTTTGTCGCATTCAGTGCATTCATTCTGTTTGAGTCCCGTGTGTATTTTCTGATGTTTAGTGAGCCTGGATTTTCTGCTAAAGGCTTTCCCACACAGACTGCACCCATAGGGTTTCTCACTAAAATGAACTCTCTGATGATCAGTGAGCTGAGACATCTTCATGAAGGCTTCTCCGCATCCAACACATACATGGGCTTTCTCTACATTGTGAGATTTCTGTTGCTGAATGGCCTGGGATTGATTATTAATGGGTTTGGTACTGACAGGCAACATGATCTCAGAATTAAATTGTTCATGGTTAGCATGAAGAATGGATATTCCATCTCCCTTCGACTCCACAGAATTCTTTAAGTTACAACTTCTGTTTTGGTTTTCAAAATTTAAATTTGATTTTAAAGGTTTTTTACTTTTCTCAAACATATCACAATTTTGCTTGAATAGAGAATGATCTTCACTCTGATTAACAACATCTGCTAACATACTGTGTTCACAGCCTCGGTCCACCCTCTTCTGAAGGCTTTGGATTTGCAAGTGATGCTGCAGAAGATCATCCGTCTTCCTGAGTTCTAGGACAGAAGAGAACAGGGAATCATTCTGGAATCCCTCACAATCCTTGTTTGAAATAAAACTGTTTTGTAAAAAGCCGTCATGTGAATGGACTGACTATTCTTGGGGGGGAAAGGGGTGAGGGGGATGCGGGAAGAGACTGGACAAAGATTGTACACCTATGGATGAGGACAGTGGATGGGGAGTGAGGGCGGAGGGTGGGGTGGGAACATGGAGGGAAAAAGAAGAACAAATGTAATAATCTGAACAATAAAGAGTTAATAAAAAAAAAAAGCCGTCATGTGAAGTAACTATTTAGTGACAATCCTATATGATGTAAAATAAAAAATATATTTCGTCTTCATGCAGTTTTTTTAAATATATTTTATTGATTTTTTACAGAGAGGAAGGGAGAGGGATAGAGAGTTAGAAACATCGATGAGAGAGAAACATCGATCAGCTGCCTCTTGCACAACTCCTACTGGGGATGTGCCCGCAACCCAGGTACATGCCCTTGACCGGAATCGAACGTGGGACCTTTCAGTCTGCAGGCCGACGCTCTATCCACTGAGCCATACTGGTTAGGCCTTCATGAATAGTTCTTGACATTGAGGTTGTGAAACTCCTGCAATTTCCTGAGTGACAGAAGTATCTTTTGTTCTACATTAAAAACAGCTGAGCCTGGCCGATTTGTCTCAGTGGTTGAGTGTCAATCTATGAACCAAAAGGTCACAGTTTGATTCCCAATCAGGGCACATGCCTGGGTTTCGGGTTTGATTCCGTGTTGGGTTGTAGGAGACAGTTGATCAATGATTCTCTTACATCATTCATGTTTCTATCTCCCTCTCTCATTTACTCTGAAATAAACAAAACTATATTTTTAAAAAAACAAAACAAAAAAACCCAAATACCTGCATTTATGTTAATGAGAAGACAGCAGAGTCCCTACATACTCTCAAGATAGTCACTAGAAAGACCAAATGATTTAATGGTCGGATTTTCAGCCAAAATAACTAACCTCTGGGAAAGGAGAAAAGGCCTAGAAAAACTCTATGAAAAAAAAAAAAAGAAAAACTCTATGGCTCTATGCAAACCCTAACTAAAAGTGTGTCTCAAAATTCACGCAAGAGGTAATTTTAATAGAAAACACAGTTTATAATTAAAAAGTGTAAATTTTTTATTGATTCATAAAGTATACAGTATAGGGTTATGTATGGAATAGCATATCGGGTAAGTGACCTCTGAGAGCTTCTCGAAATGTCCAATTCTTGACCACGGTGCCGAACTGATGTCCCTGGACTCTCAGCAACACTCTCACGAACTGCTTCGATGCTTTGTGTTAAACGACTTGTTGAAGGATGGCCAGAGTGTTTACGATCACTAATTGATCCAGTCTCCCTAAATTTTTTAATTAATCTCTTCACAGTTGATGAAGTTAAATCACTATTCCGACCATATTTCGCATGAAAATTGCGAACTGTAGCTGCCAAACTTTCATTATTTTTAAAATATTGCTCAACAATGAAAACACATTGTTCTTTCTTGTAGCGCTCCATTTTTTAAAAAATATATATTTTATTGATTTTTTTACAGAGAGGAAGGGAGAGGGATAGAGAGTTAGAAACATCGATGAGAGAGAAACATCGATCAGACGCCCCCTGCATGTCTCCCACTGGGGATGTGCCCGCAACCAAGGTACATGCCCTTGACCGGAATCGAACCTGGGACCTTTCAGTCCGCAGGCCGACGCTCTATCCACTGAGCCAAACCGGTTACGGCGTAGCGCTCCATTTTTAATAACCCTGAACTGTCAGCTGTCATGCTATCTTTTTTTTCTGTTGGCAACACTTTACAGCACAAATGGTGTAAAATTCAAATCTTGCGTGAATTTTGGGACACCCTTTATATCTGATCAGTTTCTGGGCTAGTGAATACATCCTTGTACCTACTGGGTGGCTCAAATTAAATCAATAAAGGCACAAGCTCCTGTATTCTGGAATTCTTCAGACCTTGTCCCATGTACCTATTCATCTGTTTCTTTTATTAAAAAAACAACAAAACAAAAAAAACACTAAACATAAGTGTTTCTCAGAGTTCTGTGAGCTGCTCTAACAGAGTAATTGAATCCAAGGTTGGGACTCATGACAACCTCCAATTTATAGCCAGTTGGTTAGAAGCACAGATGACAGAATGGACTTACCACTGACATCTGAAGTGGGACTTGTCTTATGGCACTGAATTTGTAACCTTTAGGGTCTGACACTATTTCTAGGTAGATAGTGTCCGAATTGAGTTAAATTTGTAGGAAACCCAGGTTTAATAATTCTAGGAATAGACACATGAAGAAAAGTCACAAAGGCAAACACAGTCTGTGTGACATGGTGAAAGGAACAATGGAGATGGGAGACGTGGACAAAATCAGGACTTAGCAGTGGTTCTCAACCTTCTGGCCCTTTAAATACAGTTCCTCATGTTGTGACCGAACCATAAAATTATTTTCGTTGCTACTTCATAACTGTAACGTTGCTACTGTTATGAATTGTAATGTAAATATCTGATGTGCAGGATGGTCTTAGACGACCCCTGTGAAAGGGTCGTTCGACCCCCAAAGGGGTCTCGACCAACAGGTTGAGAACCGCTGATTTACAGGGTTGAGCAAAAGTGGGTTTACAGTTGTTCATATGTGAAATTAAACAGTATTCTATAAATAATAATAGAATAAGCTGTTTTCACTTAGTCACCATTGTACACCTACTTTTGCCCACCTTGTATACTTAAAGAGAAGATAAGGTTCATTGATTGGTTCAATGGGAGAAGCAGGAAGAGTAAGATAAAGGTAAAGATACAAATTATGAACAACAAATACACATCTATCAACAAGTGAATCTAAAACTCAAGTGAATAAACTGATGAACAGAATAAACTGGTGATTATAATAGAATCAGGGGCATAGAAAGGGAGTAGACTAACTATTCTTGGGGGGAAATGGGTGTGGGGGGTGTGGGGGGTGTGGGAAGAGACTGGACAAAAATCGTGCACCTCCCGGCATATGTTGACAGTTTGGCTCAAATAAACTCACAAAAATTCAAAAAAACCCCCAAAACCGTGCACCTATGGATGAGGACAGTGGGGGGGGGCGGGGTGAGGGCAGAGGGCAGGGTGGGAACAGGGTGGAGGGGAGCTATGGGGGGAAAAAAGAGAAACAACTATAATAATCTGAACAATAAAAATTTAATTATTTAAAAAAAAAACTTTCAAAAAAAATAAAAACAAGGGGAAGATAAAATAAACAGGGGTCAGAACTCAAGAGCGACAAAAGGCGTATGTTTTCCTCTAAAATTCTATAAAGAAAATGGGTTCTTGCCCTGACCGGTTTGGCTCAGTGGATAGAGCGTTGGCCTGCGAACTCAAGGGTCCCAGGTTCGATTCTGGTCGGGGGCATGTACCTTGGTTGTGGGCACATCCCCAGTGGGGGATGTGCAGGAGGCAGCTGATCAATGTTTCTCTCTCATCGATGTTTCTAATTCTCTATACCTTTCCCTTCCTCTCTGTAAAAAATCAATAAAATATATTTAAGAAAAGAAAAAGGGTTCTCATATGTGGAGGGGAGGTTTGAGTTTCCTCACTCACCGTCACAGCTCTGACCAGAATGTGACTTCCCGGACGCCCGCCTTGCTGGTTCTCGCCCCCTCACCTGGAGAGACTGGACAGTGGCGTCCACGCTGTACTGTCCACGGCTCTTCCCCTCGTTCCAGCTTGGAGAGCGCGTCTGGTTTGCTGGCTTGACACCCTGCTTGTGACCAAGGACAGAGACTTAGACATTTCTCAGGCTGGGCTCTGTCAAGAAGGGAGAATGGTCCATTTCAGGGAATGGACAGGTTTCCCATATTAATTGGGCAGGGACCTGTCAAGAAGAGAGAATGAGCCCTGGCTGTTTAGCTCCGTGGATAGAATGTCAACCTGCAGGCTGTAGGGACTCGAGTTCGATTCAGGTCAAGGGCACATACCTGGGTTATAGGCTCCATCCTAGTCCCTTAGGCGCGTGAGAGAGGCAAGCAATCAATGTGTCTGTCTCACACTGATGTCTCCCCCCGCCACCCCCCCCCCCCCCCCCCGCTTTCCTCTCTCTCTAAAAAATATCCTCGCACCAGGCTGATGTGGCTCAGTGGTTGATCGTTGACCTATGAACCAGGAGGTCACGGTTTGATTCCCAGTCAGGGCACATGCCCAGGTTGAGGGCTCGATTCCCAGTAGGGGATGTGCAGGAAGCAGCCAATTGATGTTTCTTTCTCATTGATGTTTCTACCTCTCTGTTCCTCTCCTTCCCTCTCACTCTAAAAATAAAATAAAATAAATGAATAAAAAATCCTTGCATTGAGGAATAACCAAAAAGAGAAAAAAGAAGGGAGAATGTAACATTACAGGTTCCCCATCTGTAACACAAATATTTTTCTCTCAGGAGGAGACATTATACCCTCCTGTCTGGTGTAAAAGAAGGATCTGCGACCCCACCATGCCAGAGAACTGGAGTTATTCTGAGCAGTTACACAGCTGAGAAAGGAAAAGCCACTGACAGGGCACCCACCAAGTGACACAGGGGAGCTGTCCTCACCCAGTGACACCAGGTGGCTGTAGGTCTCCATCATCACGTCCCTGTACAGGTCCTTCTGCTCGGGGCCCAGGAGCTGCCACTCCTCCCAGGTGAAGTCCACGGCCACATCGTGAAATGTCAGGGGTTCCGGTAACAACTCCATGCTGTGTAACGGCGTGGTGTCCTTTAAAATCTAAAGCAGGGGTGGGGACCAGGCAGCGTGGCTCAGGGACTGAACCTCGACCTATGAACCAAGAGGTCAGGATTCAATTCCCAGTCGGGGCACATAAACTGGTTAAGGGTTCAGTCTCCAGGGAGGAGCGTGCGGGAGGCAGCTCATCCATGATTCTCTCTCATCATTGATGTTTCTCTCTCTCTCTCCCTCCCTCTCTGAAATCAATTTTGTATGGCCCAGGAATGATGTCATAAATATCCAAAAGGCTGATGGCAGAAAAAGGTTCCCCACCCCTGCTATAGATGATACGGATGAAATGTTAATTTTTCTGCTCATTTTCACTCTATAAGCTGCATCTATTCAGCAAGTGGGGTTTTATTTTATGTACAGTTGGACAATCACATGCCTACTAAAATTCAGGGTGGGGTTAGGTTTACAGTTGTTCACATGAAAAATAACGTATTAATAAATAATGATACAGGGATATACTGTGTTTTCTGCAAGCACAACTGTAAACCTAACGTTGCCCCATCCTGTATTTTGTAATTGTGCATTCAGACATTCATGCATTCAACCAGTTATAAGTTTCTATAATGTGACATAAAATATTCTTGTGAACATAGAAACACCACATTCACATATTTTTAAAAAAATATTTTTATTGATTTTTAGACAGAAAGGGAGGAGAGAGAGAGAAACATTGATGTGAGAGCTATACATAGATCCACTGCCTCCTGCACCCCCCCTTCTGGGGATCCAGCCTGAATCCTGGGATGTGCCCCGACTGTGAATAAAATCCCCAAGGTATCTGTGCACAGAACGCTGCCCAACCAACTGAGCCACACCGGCCAGGGCCACATTCACATATTTGAGAGACAAAAGATATATACATATGTATATTTTTCAGATTAACATAGGTGGTTTTTATAGGCCTCTACAGATTTTTTAATGAAAGGGAAGGATAGCCCTGGTTGGTTTGGCTCAGTCGATAGCGTGTCCGCCTGCGGACTGAAGGGTCCCAGGTTCAATTCCCGTCAAGGGCACATGCCCGGGTTGTGAGCTCGATCCACAGAAGGGGGTGTGCAGGAAGACAGTCGATCAATGATTCTCTCTCATCATTTATTTTTTTCTCTCACTCTCTGCCTCTCCCTTTCTCTCTGAAATCAATAAAATATCTATCTATCTATCTATCTATCTATCTATCTATATCTATCTATATATACATATATATACATATATATACACATATATATATATTTTTTAAATGTATGTTTTATTGATTTTTACAGAGAGGAAGGAAGAGGGATAGAGAGTTAGAAACATCTATGAGAGAGAAACATCCATCAGCTGCCTCCTGCACATCCCCCACTGGGGATGTGCCTGCAACCAAGGTACATGCCCTCAACTGGAATCGAACCTGGGACCCTTCAGTCCGCAGGCCGATGCTCTATCCATTGAGCCAAATCAGTTAGGGTGATATATATTTATTTTTAAAAAAAGGGAAAGGATAAAACAAATGCAATCACCTGAGCCTGGAGCATTTCCTTCTGTTCTCTGAAAAGAGCTGCAAGGGCGAGGCCCTGCCTTGGTGTGTTCGGGGTCTGCTCTGTGTTTCTGTAGAGAAATCCGTCTGCAGTCAGGGGTGTCACAGAAATGCTGATACCAACCCCACAGCCTCCTCCTGCTTCACATGGTTCTATTGCTCCTGGGGAGTCAGGCCTGTGGACGCAGGAGAGAATCCCACGGGTGGTGCACTTCCTCTGGGCCCCGATGCTACGCTGCTCTGAGCACTCACCTCACACAAGGCCACAGGATCACTGGTGTCCCTTCAAATGGTGTCGGGAAGAGGAACAGAGAGCCAGAAACATCGATGAGAGAGAAACATCCATCAGCTGCCTCCTGCACACCCCCTGCTGGGGATGTGCCCACAACCAAGGTACATGCCCTTGACCGGAATCGAACCCGGGACCCTTCAGTCTGCAGGTCGACGCTCTATCCACTGAGCCAAACCGGTGCTGGCTAGAGTGCTGTTTCTTACATCTGTGAGCAGGACATATGAACATGCCTGTCAATACTGCTTTCATACCGATTAAGTTGTAGATTTTAAGTTCAATGGAAGAGCTCAACAATACCAAAAGCTTGTCCTCCAAAAGAACCAATAAAATATAAGCATTTGTAGTGAGACGGATGAAGAGAAAACGCGTGTACGCAGACTATTTAAAAATTCAACAGGAGACATAAACCTCATTAAAGAAGCTTTTTTAGTTTTAAAGACTACTGTAAATACATTTATTTCATCAAATTTGAAATCGTGGGTGAATCGTAATTTTATGATCCCACCGAAACTGTTAACTCCCGACACCGTAGCAGGTGAATTTTCTGGGTAAGGAACAGGGCACAGATTTCCCACGACAACCCCAATTTCCTAATTTTGTACTTGACAGCTGAGCCAATGGTTGGAGACAAGAATAAATGATAAACATGAGAAAGGAGGACAGAAAAGGAATGTTATATTCAGACGCTGGTTCATCCACATGGAGAAAGGGATTCAAAGAGTTAACTTATTTTAATGAGAAAATGGCCCTGGCCGGTGTCGCTCAGTGGCTGGCCAGCGCCTGGAGGGTCCTGGGTTCGATTTCCACTCCAGGGCAGGTACCCAGGTTGCAGGCTCGACCCTATCCCTGGTCCGGGGTCCCTCCTACAGTGATATTTCTCCTCCCCCCCACCCCCCACTCTCTTCCTTGTTCCCCTTCCCTTCCACTCTCTCTAAAAATCAATGGAAAGTATTTCCTCGCTCCTTGGGTGAGCGTTAAAAAAGAGAGAGGCCCCAGCTGGTTTGGTTCAGTGGATAGAGCGTGGGCCTGCGGATTGAAGGGTCCCGGGTTCGATTCCGGCCAAGGGCCCATGCCCGGGTTGCAGGCTCGGTCCCCAGTGGGGGGCGTGCAGGAGGCAGCCGATCCATGATTCCCTCTCATCACTGATGTTTCCATCTCTCCCTTCCTCTCTGAAATCAAATATATTTTAAGCCCTAACTGGTTTGGCTCAGTGGATAGAGCTGTTGGCCTGCGGACTGAAGGGTCCCGGGTTCGATTCTGGTCAAGGGCATGTACCTTGGTTGCGGGCACATCCCCAGTAGTGGGATGTGCAAGAGGCAGCTGATGGATGTTTCTCTCTCATCGATGTTTCTAACTCTCTGTCCCTCTCCCTTCCCCTCCGTAAAAAATCAATAAAATATATTTTAAATATATATATTTAAAAAGAGAGAGAGAAAACATTCCCCCAAATTAACTAAGTAGATTTTTACAGTCAAACACTTCAAAGTGTTAGATTCCAGGAGGAGGACCAGCCGAGGCCAAAGGGGTAAGGGATTAGGAGGTTATGACGTCACCTGCATAACCAGATGGGCTGAGCCCAAAAATGGCGCCAAAGACGGGGCGTCGGAGGTTTTCAAAGGACCCTGGGCGGGTCGCAGGGGAGAGGTGATGTGGTCTCAGCGGCCTGAAGGTCGGCCCCCGGGGGGGGGCATCCATGCAATTATTCGATCGGCCCTCACACAAAGGACAGGAGCTCACTGACCTGCTGTCTGCAGCCGCACGGGAGCGCCCAGATGTGACACTTCCGAGAACGGACTCGGGGGCTGCAGGCGGCGCTCAGATATTGCGTCATCCGGCGGCGGCGGGCGGGGACCTGAGGCCTTGACAGAACCGCGAGCGATTTCCGCGTTCCCCTCCCGGCAATATGGCGGCGCCCTGTGGCCGCGCCGCCGCCGCATGGGGGCCGCCATGTTGGGAGGCCTGACTGCCGTACAGAAGGCAAAGCCGCGACCGCGGAACCAGGAGCCTGGAGCCAGGATGGCGGGCAGGTGAGCAGCTCACGAATTTAATCTCGTTTCCTGGCACTTCGACTGTTGTGGAAAGTGTTTTTTTTTTCACAGACTCAAGCTTGGGGAGGCAAATAGGAAGCGAGTTAAATTGCGTTGGGCGGTCTGGGCAAAGGAGGCTTAGGACAGCGGCTTTTTTTTTTTTTTTCCCAGAGAGGGAAGGAGGGAGGGGGAGAGGGAGAGAAGCGGGGAGAGCAGGGGAGGGGGAGGGAGGGAGAGAAACACCGATGAGAGAGATTGCACGGACCCTGTACCTCTGCGCAGGGGGTCAAACCTGAAACCCACCTGCTCAGGTGCGCTCACCGGGAATCGAACCCATGACCTGTCCTGCGCACTGGATGGTGCTCCAACCCGTGGAGCCACACCAGTCAGGGCATGAATGCAGCTTTTATTTTACAGTTTCTACGTTTTTTTTTAAATTTAAATTCTTTATTGTTTAAAGTATTCCATGAGTCCCCCATTGACCTCTCCCCGGCCACCCCCTACAACATTAAAAAACAAACAAAAAACAAGTTTCTTGAGCTCAGGTGTTGCTATAGCAGCAGAGAATAACATTCTGCAAAGGGAAAAAGGTCATACGTCTAGTAAATAGACACCAACAGGAAGCTTCTGGGGGAAATTTTCTTGCAGGATGTGGTTTTTAAGAACAGAAGAAGAATTTCGAGAAACTGGCACAGTGTGAGGCAGGCCGTCACCGCCCAGGGCAAAAGCTGCTGGGAGCAGCTGAAGTTGTCACTGGGATGGGGGGGGGGGGGGGGCCTCAGAGACAGGCCTCCAACAGTGAGGCCAGCAAAGGTCTGGAGCCCATGGGAAAGGCACAACCAGGTCTGAGAATCCAGAAATAATGTCTGTTGTTTTTTTGGCCAAGGTCCCAAGATAAGCCAGAGGGAGACGTCTTTTTAACAAAAGGTGCTGGGATAATTGTGTATCTATTTCCAGAAAAAGAAAATTGTGACCCTAACTCCAACCGTAAACTAAAATGAACCCAAAATAGATCATAGATCCAGCCGAACAGCTGAAACTATGAAACTTAGAAAAGCAGACGAGAGGCAATCTTCCTGAACCCGCGTTAGCAAAAGAATTCTGAGAGAAGACAGGAAAAGATGAGCCAGGAAATAAAAGTAAAACTAGATTAAAATGTAAAACGTTTGTATTTCTAAGCACAACATTTAAGAAAGTGAAGAATGGAGCCAGAGATTGGGAGAAAAAAATTTCCACATCATACATCCGGTGAAGGAACTTGCATTCAAAATATATGAAGAATTTGCCGAACTCAATAATAACAAACAACCATCCAGTTAGTTCATGTATGAGGTCATGACATTTTCTAACAACTCAATTGTGGTGATGATGGCACAGCTCTGACCTTCCTAAATGTTAATAAATTCTACAATTACTACACAAATATTATATATATCTCAAAATGGTGAATCTTGGTTCATTGGTCAACACTCAACCACTGTGCCACACCAGCCAGGGCAATTAATTTATTTTAGAAAAAAAATTGAATAATAAGAGGATCATAATATAAACTGAACATAATTTGCCCTGGCTGATTTGGCTCAGTGGATAGAGTGTCGGCCTGCGGACTGAAGGGTCCCGGGTTCAGTTCCGGTCAAGGGCACATGCCTGGGTTGTGGGCTCAGTCACTAGTGGGGGTGTGCAGGAGGCAGCCAATGAATGGAAGCAGCCAATCAAAGGTTCTCTCTCATCATTGATGTTTCTCTCTCTCTCTCCCTCTCCCTTCTTCTCTGAAATATATATATATATATATATATATATATAGTAATAAACTGAACTGTAATTGAATTTTATGTTTTTCATGTATATTCCATGTTTTTTTTTAAATAAGAAAACGTTTATTTAGAGACATAGAGGTAGAAGTAGTGAGCTGTGGAAGAAATAGGCTTCAGGAAACAAATTACAGAAGCAGCCCTAACCGGTTTGGCTCAGTGGATAGAGCATCGGCCTGCGGACTCAAGGGTCCCAGATTCGATTCCAGTCAAGGGCATGTACCTTGGTTGCGGGCACATCCCCAGTGGGGAGTGTGCAGGAGGCAGCTGGTCGATGTTTCTCTCTCATCGATGTTTCTAACTCTCTATCCCTCTCCTTTCCTCTCTGTGAAAAATCAATAAAATATATTTTTTAAAAAAACAAAAACAAATTACAGAAGCATAGGAGGGCCCATGGAGTTTAGGAGACCAGAGAGAGAGCTATGCCTTGAGAGAAGAAAGTGTGTGTGTGGGGGAGGGGGGGCGGGGAGAAGGCATAGCATGCTTCAGAGAGTCACCATGATAGTTTACATTTATGTGACTCTAGTTACCATCCCACTAGTTCACCCATGACTTTATTATAGCCACTTTTATATTAATTACATGTAGATATACATAAACATTTTGTAATATGGAAATATGTGTGTGAAAAATTATAGTAAAAGTATATCCTATCTGTTTTCCCCAGTTTTACTGTAATATAATAAACATGAATTAAACTTTAATAACTTTATTTTGGGAAAATTTATATTTACACAAAAATCACAAAGTACTACTACAAAGAGATCACTTCATTTGACTTCCCCTCATGTAAACATTTTGGATAACCATGGTACCGCTGTCAAATTGAGAAATTAACATTGGTTTAATACACAGCCAAATTACAGACGCTACTCGTATTTCACAAGTTTTTCCACTACCATCCTTTTTCTGACCCAGGATTCAACCCAAAACACAAT